TCAGTAGAGGAAGCAAATGGATGTCAGGAGAGTTTGGATGGTGCCTTTCTGCCCAGAAGAAGGGGGTCAGTCTAGATGTCTCTTGAAGGGGTCTGTACTATGATTTCTGTTCTCCATAAATTTAACACAGTTTGTGTCACACAAACAAAATTTCAGGAGTAGAACAACTACTTTCAAAGTAAATACCACCCAATGAAACAGGAAATAACACTTTCAAACCAGGAACAGATTTTCTTTATTATTAAAAGATTCTCCAAAAATCCATGGATGAGTTAAAGGTTATGAAATTTGGTGAGCTAACAGTGGTCCACATGTTCTACCACTATGGCAAGTTTCATCAGGATGGGTTTACAAATGAGGGAGGGAGAATCCCCTGAAGTTTCACCAGTACCAGTGCTGTTTTTCGCTACTGTGGATGCGCATCCGCATTAACAAATTGATTCAGAAGTTTTGGAAAGTTTCAAATATTTTTTGGAAAAATCCAGAAGTGACTTTAGAATTGGTACTGGTAGTGAAAATTAAAATAACCTTGGGAGACATCCAAACATTATAGAATATTTCCGTAAAAAAAAAGAGTTTTCCTGCATGGTTCAAAACTGCATCGGATGTCCAAATTCGTATGTTTTTTTCCAAATTCCAGTCTTTTCCAAATGAACCTATCCAACTCTAGTGTCATGTCATATAGTGGTGAAAGGAGTGGTAATTTTACAGAGTTTCTTTTTTTTTTTTTTTTTACTTTTATTTAAACATTTTATTTTTTATTTTTCAAAAGACATTTTTTTTCAATACATCCAATCACCCAGTGCTAACCCTTCACCCCCGACCAGCCAATTACAATATTTATTCCCAAAAATCAGTTGTTTCTATTACAGGTTTGGTCCCCTTACCTTCTATATATACATATTCTATCAATTTCCCCCAAATCTTCCCAAAATCATATTTTTTTGATAATCCTCTTTTAACCTGTAGAGTTTCCACTAGGTGGCAGTCACAGATTTTTTTTGCTTCTGCTTCCAGTCTTATAGAATTGGGTTATTTTTTTATTTACAGAGGAGATTTTTTTATTTTCTTTCTTTTCTCAGAGGGGTCTCTCTCCTTCTCAAAAAACCATTTCCTTAATGGACAGTTTGATTTGTAAATGCAGTCTATCTTGTAGACACTGAGTATGATTGTCTATGACAAGAAATGGCTTACAATAAACTTAAAATGCAATTGCTTCTTGATATTTCAGATGCGAAGTATCCCTGAGTTAAGGCAATGGTTTGGGTAAAGGTAGCACAGCAGTTGAAGCCGCTAGCTGCAGAAAAAGCTGCTGACCAGAAGGTCAGCAGTTTGAAATCACAAGTCTGGATGAGCTCCTGACTGTTCAGTCCTAGCTAGTGCCAACCTAGCAGTTTGAAAGCAGGCAATGCGAGTAGATCAATAGGCACCGCCTTGATAAGAAGGTAAACGGGCACCCCATGCATACATGCAGGCAAAAAGGTCAGAGATGCTTATGGACAGCAGGCTCCTTTGGCGTGGAAAATGGAACAAGAGCACCTCCCCATGAGCATCGCTTCCAAACGCCAGAAATGGAAGAAAAAGAAGGCCTTTACTTTATCTGTGCATTGTATGTTATTGCTTGTGTAAAAGGAATTGAGTGTTTGTCTGTTTATAGTATTTATATTCTGTCCTTCTCACCCCAAAGGGGACTCAGGGCAGATCACAGAACACATATACAGTGTTCCCTCACTTAACACGGGTGTTACGTTCCCCCCGCGAAAAGTGAAAATCCGTGAAGTAGGGACACTACCTACCTACCTATCTCTCTATCTAGCATTCTGAGTGTGAGGCAGAAGCGAGTAGAGATTTAAAGGCACAGTGCACCTTTTTTTTTTGGCTAGCTATAAGAGAGGGACTATAAGGCTGTGATTTACATGCTGCTTTGTATCTCTTCCCTCTCTCTTCCGAGGGGGAGGGTGAAACCCCTTCCACTCTCCATCGTTGCCAGGAGGCAAAAACCCACAAAACAGCGAGTCTGCAAAAAGCGAATTGTGAAGTAGTGAGGGAACACTGTATGGCAAACATTCAATACTATTATATACTGACAAGACAAACAACTGCACATAGAGGCATTTATTATTATTATTATTATTATTATTATTATTATTATTAAACTTTATTTGAACCCCGCTAGCATCTCCCGAAGGACTCGATGCGGCTTACAAAAGCCAAGGCCTCAAAACACAACTTAACAATACAAAACCTAAAGCAAATTAAAACAATTTAAGAAATATTAAACAACAAACAATAAACAATACACCAAGACACAGTAAAACGGGCTGGGCCAGAGTAGTGGGTACAGAATTAAAAGTGCTGATATATAGGTTTTCCCATCTTCTGCATCGTGGAGACTGTGCCCGGTTCTAACTATGTGGGTGGGGTGGGGGGTTTGGTGCTGTCGCTCCATTTTCCCTGCCAAAGAGCTTTGTTCTTCATAAACTTCCTCCTTGATTGAATCACTGGCATCTTTCCGGCATTTCCTTATGGGTGCCTTAAATACCTCCCCGCTTATGTGTTACCTATTTATATTCTCACATTGCTGTTTTTAGAACTGCTAGGTAGGCAGAAGCTGTGTTACAGGCCAGGAGCTCACCCTGACCCAGGCTTCAAACTGTCAACCTTTCAGATGACAAGATTTACTGCAGCTGGCAGTTAACCTGCTGTGATGATGCCTGGCCCTTCATAAATGTACTGTAATCTGCTTTGAGTCTCTCTGAGGGGATAAAGCGGAATATAAATAAAGTGTATTATTATTGGGCAACAACTTTGAAAAATGGTGTGGGAGTCTAGGCTTAGAGACTAATCATCTTATAACACAGCCCAATGCTATCACTGTTAATTCCTCATTTATGTGGCTGCCACTGTTTTAATTTCAAGAATATGAAGACATTGGATGGGTGAAGGTTAACTAGTGAATTTTTCACTACCTATACTTAAGAAGCAATTTAAATGCCAGCACCCCCTAGTTTTGCAATGACCTTTGAACCATTTTTTATGGATCGTACGTCCCAAGTTTCTATACACAATTTTGCGTAATATATTTATCAGATGTTGACCATAGAAATACATTGAAGGGCCTAGAGATTCCTAGAGCGAACATTTCACTCAAATCCGTGTATAATCCAATCCGCAAAAGTCAAATCAGCAAATGTGGAGAGAAGGCTGTATTTCACATCCCACAAAAACGTTCTTTGAAAGACAAAGAAATTGAAACAATTTCTCCATTAAAATTAGTTTTTATAGTGTGGTCTTATTGGTACATATTGTTTCAAGATCCTCATCACAACAAAACAGAAAAATTAGCATTTAATAGTCTCTGGAGGATATAAAGAACATGGACAGACTAACTTATTTTCTGAAAGGACATGAAGGTAAACCCAAATGCCCTACACAATGGACTTTACTAGACTTTTTTTCAAAAAAAAAAAAAACCGAGGGAAATGATACAACTATGAGAAGATGGAGAGACTAATTATAATTTATATGCAAGAGATTAATTGCCTGGGTAGGAAAATAATTCGGAAGTCAATAAGAAGATTTTATTTTTATTTTTATTCTTTTTTTCCTTTTACATATATATTTTTTACATTTTTTTCCTTTTTTCTTCATTATGTAATTTTTTCATTTTCATTTTTTATCCCAACTTTTTGTCTTCCCTCCCCTTCTAGTCCTTCTATTCCCGCTCCCATTAGTAGGGAAACCTCCGTACCCTTTTTACCATAGTTAGCTTCTTTCTCCTTTCTCTTTCCTACTTGTTAAACTTTCCTACCCCTTTTTACCCCCCCCCCCCTTTTTCCCTCTTTCCTTTTTTCCCTGTTTTCCCCTAAAAATGCAATAAAATTACTTTAAAAAAATATTCTCCGGAGGTATAGCTTCTTGTTACCACCAACTTCAACCAATGCGCTCCGGCACCACGAGATGCAGAGCCAAACTCAAGAAATGGGGCCACAAAGTGGGATCCACGACATGCGAGTGTGGAGAAGAGCAAACCACTGACCACCTGCTGCAATGCAACCTGAGCCCTGCCACATGCACAATGGAGGACCTTCTTGCGCAACACCAGAGGCACTCCAAGTGGCCAGATACTGGTCAAAGGACATTTAATCAAGTACCAAACTCGCAAATTTTGTATTTTGTCTGTTTGTTTTGTTGTTAGAAATGTAATATGATTGACTGGTTGCCCTGACACGACAAATAAATAACCAATGTAGTTCTCTCAATAGCAGGGAATGCCAAAAATATTATTTTCCAGGAGATAGTTTGTCTCCCTCTCAATGTTGATACATTGACTCAAGAACAGGAAACATAATGTTGTTGAACAGGAAAAGAGATTTAAAGATGGGCTTAAAGCCAACCTTAAAAACTGTGGCATAGACACCGAGAACTGGGAAGCCCTGGCCCTTGAGAGCTGTAATTGAAGGTCAGCTGTGACCAACAGTGCTGTGGAATTTGAAGAGGCATGAATGAAGGGCAAAAGGGAGAAATGTGCCAAGAGGAAGGCACATCAAGCCAACTCTGACCGGGACCACCTTTCACCTAGAAACTGATGTCATCACTGTGGGAGAACATGTGGATCAAGAATAGGTCTACACAGCCACCTACAGACCCATCGCAAAGACACTACAGTTGGAGGACCATCATCCTCAGGATATGAGGGATTGCCTTGGAGGAATGGTGGCCTTCTCATAGAAATTAAGAAGATCACATGGAGGAAATTCTGCAAACTATCTTGCTTTTCTGAGTGGGACTGATAAAAAAAATGCAAAAAATGTCTCCTGCCAAATCTTTGTTGTTAGAAGAAGACTTGAGTCCACGTTGCAACAAGTCTTGGAAAGGAAGAGGACTTTCCACAAAGATCATCATTGTCTTAGAGTAATCTTCATGACCTTTTCTTCCTGACAAGATGAAATTGTCAACAAACTCAATGGAAGCTTTCCGTTTGGGGAGTGTGACTTCTGGAAAGCGAGCAATAAATTGCCATTTCTGAACCACCAGTTCACACTCTGAATTGTTTCATCCCAGAGAAAGAAGGTCTGGACCCATCTAAAATGGAGCTCCCATTTGTGGTGGCCATTCTCATGGCCTTTGCATACTGCACCAATGCACAGGTGAGGTTGAAACTGACTTCTGGAAGAAAGATCGTATGGATACTGGGGTGTTGGAGATGGTGTGTAGAAATCCCAGAGTGGAGTAGACCTCATGGGATGGAATTAATTGATCACACTGAGGTCTTGTCAAAATCAGTACCACAAAAAAGGGATAGACAGTGAGAAAAATGAGGGCATTACCCTCCAAATAGGTCATTTTCCTTCAGTCCCCAACTTTCTAGCATCACAGAAAGCGAGACCATGGAAATCTTTCACACCTAGAATGCTTCGATATGCTGCGTTCACATTTCTTTGGGTGCTTACATTATATTTATGAATGCTCAACTGAAGTTTAAACTAATAGAAATGCTAAAGGCACTGAGAGAATTGGTTAGCAAAAAAAGTTATTTCAACCAAGAATGGCTGCTTTCTTACTAGGGATAGAAAGAGTTTTTGCAAATATGTATGTGTGTGTGTATGTATGTGTGTGTGTGTGTGTGTGTGTATATATATATATCTTCAAGATATATGGTCTCTGTTGGAAAACTCTGATGAGAATAATCCTTCTTTAATTCCCTTGGGGAGATAGGGCGAAATACAAATAAAGTTATTATTATTACTATTATTATTATTATTATTATTATTATTATTATTATCATGTTGTCAAAGGCTTTCATGACCAGAATCACTGGGTAGCTGTGGACTGCATGGCCATGTTCCAGAAGCATTCTCTCCTAACGTTTCGCCCACATCTATAGCAGGCATCCTCAGAGGTTGTGAGGTCTGTTGGAAACTAGGACAAGTGAAGTTTATATAGCTGTGGAATGTCCAGGGTGGGAGAAATAACTCTTGTCTGCACGAGGCAAGTGTGAATGTTGCAAATGGCCAACTTGATTAGTATTGAATGGCCTTGCAGCTTCAAAGCCTGGCTGGTTGCTGCCTTGGGGATCCTTTGGCAKAGTCAGGCTTTGAAGCTGCAAGGCTATTCAATGCTAATCAAGCTGGRCAATTGCAACATACATATTTGCCWCAAACAGAAAAGAGTTCTTTCTCCCACCCWGGACATTCTACAGATATACAAATCTCACTTGCCTAGTTTCCAASAAACCTCACAACCTCTGGGAATGCCTGCRATAGATGTGAGCGAAATGTCAGAAGAGAATGCTTRGGTAAKATTGCCATACGYCCCAGAAAACTCACAGCAACCCATTATTATTATTATTATTATTATTATTATTATTATTATTATTATTATTATTATTATTATTATTCTATCCAGTRTGGATAGACTTAWTCTGCACTAAAGTTGTGCAAGTTTGTTTTTTGTATGGTYACAACCTCTTCTGTGCAGAAAATGGCATTACTAACAATAGCATTATTTTCTGTGCAGAATAAGCGGTTTCCAGCATACAAATGTTGTAATTAGGGATGTGTAAAATTCACATGTAGTTGACTAGCATTAAAAATTAGGGGGTTTTGCATGAGAAATACCCTTTTCTGCCCAGAATAGGCTGTTGTGTCCACAGAAAATACTGCTATAAATACAAAACTACTCAGTGCACACTTTGTGCAGATAAATCTTGTTTTGAAAAGTGTGTGGTTTGCAAAGATATTGCCATAGCAAGAATATTTCTAAAATGTCTCAGGGCCATTTATGTCCTTATATATGTATCTGTCAGTTGCCACATGATGGCAGTAAAAGCCAATGTGGATCTCTGGCCTTAGTCTGAATGTGTCAAGCCTAATATCCTGTAAGCACCAGGACCTATCGAACTTGGATTACCACTTCATCACACTAGAGAAAAAATCCACTTAAAATCTGGTTTGTGCCTCCTGCAGAATTCTGGGATTTGTAGTTTAGTGGGGCTGCTAAAGTTTACTTTAGCAGCCTCACTAACCTCTGAGGATGCTTGCCATAGATGCAGGCAAAACGTCAGGAGAAATGCCTCTAGAACATGGCCCTATAGCCCGAAAAAACCCACAAGAACCTAGTGATTCCTGCCATGAAAGCCTTCGACAATACAAATCCCAGAATTCTGCAGGAGGCAGAAACCGGATTTTAAGTGGATTTTTCCCCCTCTAGTGTGATTTTAAGTAGTGTCAGGCCTGGTTAATACTTGGATGGGAAACCATTACAGAAAGCCAGGTGCTAAAAGATATTTTTTGGAGAAAGTAAATGGCAAAATGAGTGTTACTTGCCTTAAAAAATATATATATAAATTAATGGGACTGCAAGAAATGGACTGGTTACTTGAAGGCACACACAGCTGTATACACAAACAACACACATAGGATGTGACTTCATATTGTAGGGTAACTTAATTAACTGATAATAGAGACTGCTTTTTAAAAATATATGTTTCATTGTGCCTTTATTGTGATGCTGTAGCAATCAGACCAAACAACCAAATCATTTATTTTGGTCATAGACCAGCACAGGAAATAAAACTCACAGTTTCATACAAAATTGGTACATTTAGTACATTAAAAATATAAATACTGAAGCATAATAGGGATGAGGGAGCGGAAGGGGAAATAGGGTAAAACATACAATGCACAGGTCTATCAGCAAATTATAGATCAACCATTATATCATCACAACTCACAGACTAACTTGTTTTTCTTTTTTCCAGCGTTATTTTCCTCCATCCCGTGTGAGTATAAGGAACACATTTTGTGGCTTGTTTGGTTTTCTTGATGGGCAGTGTCAGTCTATATGATGCAGTTCAGTTAACACATTCCCCATCATTTCATGCTACACATGGTTTTCAATGTATAACTAGCAGCACTCAGGGCCCTTCCACATAGCCCTATATTCCAGAATATCAAGGCAGAAAATCCCACAATATCTGCTTTGAACTGGGTTATCTGAGTCCACACTCAGATAATGTGGGATTTCCTGCCTTGATATTCTGGGATTTAGGCCTGTGTGGAAGCACCCTCGGCTTCAGGATTAGTCTGGCTTGTAGGCTTAGTTCCGAAATATCTGGACAGCCTCAAGCTGCACTGATATAGTTTAGCCCTTTGTGAACAAGCAGATTGACTTTCAGTGGTCCTTCTTTGCTTCTATGTCATTGTGACAAGAATATTCCCTATACATCATTCTGGTAAGATTAAGTCCATTGGCGCCAATATGGAAAATTTAGAGGCTCATTTCTCCGTCAGTTTTAGGCCTATCAGAATGAAACGTGCCTTACTTGTAGGCCACATTTATGATTGCAAGCCTGCCAAGTTTCAGAACATTTCACCAATTCAGTGATTTTTGGGGATTTTTAAAAAGTTTTTGCCATAACATTTTTAATTTTAAAAACCACAATAGGGGGTTTTTGGGAATTGAAGTCCCAAGCACATGCAGCAAGAGGGGAGAAGAATGGGCACATACAACCAAGCCTCTGACTGGCTGAGAAAAAAAAACTGAGAACACACAGAGAGACAGGCTCCTTCAATGCTCATGATGTACAAAGTACTGCTGGGAAAGCAAATTCCAATTTGACTCAAGTGGGTGTGTGTGTGTGTGTGTGGGGGGGCTTCAGGAAGGGATGGAGGAGCCTGCTGGAGAAGAAAGACGAGGAAGAGCTACAGCTTGCTTGATTTGCAAGGTGGCCTACACACTGCCTCCGATTAGCCCCATTAGTCCCCATTATCTGAAAAGATGATGATGATTATCTATAGAAATAAAAATGTAATATTTGTTTGTGGGGTTGACATAAATCAAAAACCACTGGACCAATTGCTGCCAAATTTGGCCACAAGACACCTACTAACCCAAGGAGTGACCATCACTCAAAAAAACTGATTTTGTTATTTGGGAGTTGTAGTTGCTGGAATTTATAGTTAACCTACAATCAAAGAGCATTCTGAACTCCACCAATGATAGAACTGAACCAAGCATGACACACAGGGCTTCCATGATCAACAGAAAACACTAGAAGGGTTTGGTGGGCATTGACCTTGAGTTTGGGAGTTGTAGTTCACCTACATCCAGAGAGCACTGTGGACTCAAACAATGATGGATCTGGACCAAACGTGGCACGAATATTCCATATGCCCAAATATGAACACGGAGTTTGAGGGAAATAGACCTTGACATTTGAGAGTTGTAGTTACTGGGATTTATAGTTCACTTACAATCAAAGAGCATTCTGAACTCCACCAATGACAGAATTGGAGCAAACATCCCACATAGAACCCCCATGACCAATAGAAAATACTTAAGGCCATCCAGTCCAACTCCCTTCACCAGGGCAAGAAAACATAATCAAAGCTCTCCAGACAAAGAGCCATTCAGCCATAGATATAGACAGACATATACGATTCACACACAGAGAGATATAGTATTATAGATTTGAAAAGGACCCTAAAGAAGGACAATTATATCTTGCATGTTCCAGAGTAGGCAAACCAGACAATCTCTACATCAACACTGACAAAGAAACAGCAAGAAATACTGTTTATCCGCAAGCATAAAGAAATTACATATATTAGAAACCAACACTTTCTCGTTACTTTATTTTCCAGATCACCAGACTGAGCCATAGCAACGCGTGGCAGGGGACAGCTAGCAAAAAATATTTTTATACCCCGCCACCATCTCGCCAAAGGGACTTGGGGCAGCTTACAAGGGGGAAGGCCGAAATATAGATTAAAACCCACACAATAAAAGAAAACAACAGCAAGTAACATCAAAATCACAACACACAAATTAAAAACTGTATCATGGCTGAAATATTAAGTGCTGAGTGCGGGGGGATCAGGGAATGTGCAATCGTTCCTGGGTAGAGCCAGGGAAAGTACAAGATTCATTTCATATTCAATTAAAGGTCACAGCTGAGAGGGTGACGTCCTTAGGCATTTACAGTAACAGGATTACAGGTTGGAGGGCCAACTAAAGTGCAAAGAGCTATGGTGAGATCAATCCAATTTCTGATGTGATCCATATCAGTTAGAGCTTCAGCTGCCTGGCTTGTTTCCAGGGATTTGGCAGCTGAATCCCCTAAAATCCCCGAATCTGGTACATCAAAACGATATCATGCACACCCCTAATTTCTAGCAGCATCACCTCCTTTAATGTAAGTGTAGGCCACCAAAACTATATTTTCTAGACTACAAATTCCATAATCCTTTCCCATTGGCCATTGTAGATGGGGCAGGTGGGAGTTGTGGGAGAATGCCACAAAAGAACCATCGTTTCTCCAAATCTGCTATAGGGAAGCATCTCCAATGGACATGAACAGGTAGAAACCAACAGGATCAGTGAATGTCACTTTTAATTTCTCTAGGGGGATTCAAGCTATGGCAGACACATCGACCCAGAGTACCATGCTCCTATTCCATATCCACCACCACCACCTCCTCCTAGATATCCTGCTCCTCCAGTGAGTATGACCATTTTCTGTGCTCCTTTGTGCCACATCCCTTTTTTTAACAGACTAGTTCTCACATTGACTCAAGCAGGGCTTCCAGACCTCAGGGCCTTCTCTGGTCCACAGGCTACAGAGGGAATGACCATGCCTTGAAAAGTATCTGCACATTTTTCTCATTTGTTATACATGGCCTTTTGAATTTGAATGGCATACTCTACACTCATTGAGCATTGTGCATAAAATATGACACTCACTGAGCATCAAATAAGACACATTTGATGCTCAATGTGCCATATCTAATGATAGCATCAAGTGCCATTCTTTGTAACATCCATGTAACTGCTCCATGTAATTTCACAGTTCCCAGGACTCATTTACTTTTGTAATCTCAGTCCCTGGGACAGAATGGACCTAGTAACCTAGACACAAGTCATGTTAATTCATGTACAACCCAATGTTAAGCATTGAGAATCACACGGTCAGAGAGCCAGTGTGGAATAATTATTTGAGAGTTGAATTAGAATTCTGGAGACAAGCATTCAGATCTTAGTTAAGAAATATGGCATTTAAATATTTAAATATTGTATCAATAGAGGGGAAAAACATATTTCTCTCTTTCTGCTGAAGGCCTCTGTTTATGGTGATGGATTTCGTCCTAACCCTCACTTCCCTCCACCACCTCCTGGACACTATGGTTCTGAATTCTCCCCTCCTAACTATCCGCGCCCTGCCTACCCTTACTCGGTGAGTATGAGATACAGGATTTGCCTACTTACATTTTATCGTCATTGTGTTGGAAACAAGACTGTGTTCAATTTATCTCTCTGTTAGACCTTATGTATGTGTTGGGCTGATGAAGTGTTCTGCCTAGTGCATTAATATACTTTCCAACTGTCCTGAAGTGACCCAATTAATCCACTGTTGAACATTTTTTCTGCTGCTTCTAAAATTTCTCTGTTTCTTTCTCTTCTTCCCAGCCCCCTTCTACACTGCCATATAAAATCCGAATTATCTTCTTTGAACTGGATTATATGGCAGTGTAGACTCATAATCCTGTTCAAAGCAGATCAAACAATCATTCAATCATAGAATCATAGTTGGCCATATAAAATCCAGATTATCTGCTTTGAAGTGGATTATATGGCAGTGCAGACTCATATAAACCTGTTCAAAGCAGATCAAACAATCATACAACCATAGAATCATAGAGTTGGCCATATAAAATCCAGATTATCTGCTTTGAACTGGATTATATGGCCGTGTAGACTCATATAATCCTGTTCAAAGCAGATCAAACCATAATAGACATAGAGTTGGCCATATAAAATCCAGATTATCTGCTTTGAACTGGATTATATGGCAGTGTAGACTCATATAATTCTGTTCAAAGTAGATCATACAATCATAGAGTTGGCCATATAAAATCCAGATTATCTGCTTTGAACTGGATTATATGGCAGTGTAGACTCATATAATCCTATTCAAAGCCAATCAAAAAACCATACTATAATAGAGTTGGAAGAGACCTTGTGGGCCAACCAGTCCAATCCCCTGCCAAGAAACAGGAAAATCACATTCAAAGTACCCCCAGCAGATGGCTATCCAACCTCTGCTTAAAAGCCTCCAAAGAAGATTGTGTTGATTATCTGATAATCTGTATTACATTGTAGTGCAGAAGGGGCCTGAAGCAAAAGTAACCTGCATTCAATGAACTCAGCAGAAAGTGGAGACAGAATCCTTCCCTGTAGGCTCAGGCCAAAGCAGCCCCTTCTATCTTGTCTGTTCTTCCTCATCAATAACTCTTCATATCTTGACCACTTTTCATCTATCATTTTCATCTATGAAATATTGTAAAGTATATATTAATGGCATGGCTTGAGACACCCACTGGTCATGTTCACATTTCCCAACACATATTGTGTGTTGCCTAGAACTAAAAAGATGAAACAATGAGCCCAAGAGAGCCTTATCACACTAGCTGACTAACTGGAATTCTAGAGCAGCCACACAACTGGAGATTATACTGCCAAATCAAACAGAAACTTCAGGGGCTCCTTTCTCCCTCATTTTTGAGGCTATTGAGGTGAAACCTGCTACAATGGTAGAACACATTTACCACTTTTAGCGCACCAAATTTCAGAACGTTTCACTTATCCACAGATTTTGGGGGAATTTTCAAAGTGTTTATTAAAAATCATATTTTAAAAAAACTACGAGAGCTATCTACATGAATTTTATATACAATGCACAAGATAACCAGGGCATCAATCCCCAGAAGTTTCTGAAAGATTCACACAGCTACAGATTTTTGGGGATTTTAAAAAGTTTAGGAAAAACAATTTATTTTCCCCAAAAATGACCACAGCAATTCCCTTGAATGTCTGTCTGTCTTTATGGCACACAACCACATAACTTCAACTTAGCACTGATTTATACTATTACTTACTTACTTTAGTCCTCATCGCAGATTCAACAATTTTATTTATTATTATAAATATTTACTATTTGGAAAGGCAAGGCCACAGGGTGCCTCGCCTTCCCAAACTACATTTCCCAGAATGTTGTGTTCTCAGTCTCCTACCCAAGTTTGCTAGTCCTGCCGCCAGTGCCTTTCTTACGGTGATCGGGCCAAAGAAAAACATGATTGGTTTATAAAACACTTGGTGTTCCCTTGGCTTTATCAAAGTTGCTTAATGCTTATAAAGAAAATTAAACTGACCTTGGGAGGCATCCAAATGTTAAAAAATCTTAACAAAAATTATTGGTGAGTGTTTTGATTCTAATTCCCCCCCCCCTTCCTGCATGTTTCTAATATCGATTCGTATGCACGAATTTAATGAATTTTATACGAAATACAAATAGAAATGGTAATTTTGCACACCTCTAATATTTAGCCTGTTGCATCTAAGTTGTACAGGTGTACACTTAAACTGGTTCTGAGTTTACTTCCCTTTCTTTAAGAATGTGAATTCATATATCTGGAAGGAGAAAGAACCAGTAGAAATGAAATGTGCATTGATTATATCTATCCAATGAGAAACTAATGCTTGAAATGAAACTTCAAGGGGTGACAGAATTGCCATATCCAATAGAGTCTTCTTTACACGCTGATTCCAAAGTGATTTCTTTGGAAATGATGTCCAGTTGGTATCAGTGGAAACGGCTCCACAATGTCTGTAAAGTATAGGGCATTCTATATGGAAGATTCATATAGAATCAAAGAGTTGGAAGAGATCTCATGGGCCATCCAATCCAACCCCCTGCCAAGAAGCAGGAAAATTGCATTCAAAGCACCCCCGATAGATGGCCATCAAACAGAGAAGAACTAATAACATTGTTTTGTTTCTGTTTTTTTCTAGGATGATAATGAAAGAAGATGGTCATGGGTAAAATACATTTTATTTACCTATAGTAAATAGTTACTGTAACATAGTAAACCGTAACATAATTAGCTATGCTACGGTTCACATGATTTGCTGGATACACAGATTATCTCCCTGATTTCAATGCTCCTGCAATTGACATGCTTTTTGAAACCTTTCTACGGTTGCTTCTAATTTATCCCCATTGAGGCCAGTGCAGCATATAACAGGCAAACATAAGGAAAGTCATCATTGTCATAGACCAGTTAAACAAACCAGTCCAAAACCTATTCAGCACACTGTATTTTCTCTCTTGCTTACCTTGGCGCCTTCTAGTGCTCAGTCATGAGTTTGCAAGCTAAACCACCTTTCAACCATTTTCAATTGAAAGTGGCACAGTGGGTTAAACCTCTGTGCCAGCAGGACTGAAGACCGACAGGTCGCAGGTTTGAATCCGGGGAAAGCGTGGATGAGCTCCCTCTATCAGCTCCAGCTCCTCATGCAGGGACATGAGAGAAGCCTCCCACAAGGATGTTAAAACATCAAAACATTCAGGCGTCCCCTGGGCAACATCCTTACAGACAGCCAATTCTCTCACACCAGAAGCGACTTGCAGTTTCTCAAGTTGCTCCTGACACGACAAAAAAAAATGTTTTTGACATTATTCTGGTTCCTAACCCTTTGAATAATTAGCAGATGCCTGTTCCAAATTAATAGTTTATTAACTGAAGTTGAACATAAGACAGATGAATTATTTTATATATTATTTAAAATACATATCTCATCCTTATTTTATTTATTTATTTACCATCTTTATACCTTGCCCTTCTCACCCTGTAGGGGACTCAGGGCAGCTCACAAATATAGGCAGTGATTTGATGCCATAAGAATACATCAATTAAAAATATATATTAAAACAATAATTAAAACATATAAAACATTAAAACCACTTATTTAAAATCACACAATCCAGTATCCTAGTCTGCGGCTGTTCCAGATTGTCCTTAATACTCAAAACCTCAAACATTGCATACGCATTAATCCCAAAACCCAACTGATGGACTCTTTCAGCCTGTTCTTACATTCACTCACTCTTTCATCCTCTATCTAGTTATCCCATCTCTCTATTAATTTTTTGTCATCAACTGTAATTCAAATTCCACCAGACATCCCATCAACAACACTCACTTCTTTTCAGTGCTTGCAAATTACAGACAAGTTTCATTAATTTGACAAGGGATCTGCTGATTTATCAGTTCTTCTTGCCTGTAAGGCTTCCTTAGGATGTCATTCTTACATGCCACAGTATACCATCATATGTTATTTACATTTTTCAGGGGCCAAATGTGTTTGCAAGCTTATAAACCCCAAGGTTCCACTTTTCAACCAATTCCACCTTATGACAGTTCTGCAATCTCTAAGTGGGAGGTTCCTATACATAAATAATATTATCCATCAAGTCCATAAAACACAGATGATGCTTAGAATTCTCAGTCAGAAAACTCCAAGGTTGCATAAAATTCAGCCATCACAGTTAAGGGAGAATCATACTGCTATAACTGCGCA